ATTGAAGCAAGTGACTTGAAATTCAAACAGTATCGGTAATTAATTTATTATTGTTTTACTATATTTATTGTTATTAATCAGAATTAACCAGAACTATTTTAATAATAAATTTCTGGACTGTTGAGTAATTGCTTTGTCTTAATTGTTATTATAACTGTATAATGACTTTATTGACATCCTGTATGCTATAAATGTCTGTTTTTATATTTTACGAGATATTAAAAGTTATTACTATAATTTTAACGCTATTACTACTGGTATTACCAAATTAACAAGGTGTCTAAGCCTGGTAACTTATATACTTTCGGCAATCGTTACGATGTATTTTTACAACTGATAGTCCCATCTTGAGTTCCTTTACGATCTTGTCTAGGAATTCCTGATATCTCTGTAAAATGAATTCATTTTGTTTAACCTAATTCTCCTCATGCCGATCCGGGCATTGTTTGCTCAAGATTGTCAACACTTGGCCTGTTCGCACAAACCAAGCATTGCTTTCAGCCGGTCATCTGGTCTATTGTATAAATCTCGATTCTCTATGAACCAGTTATTATCAATCTATTGTTCTTGATACGTTTTAACCCTTTTCATGCGTGTTTATTCATCATTATCTCGTTTTCGTTGATATTTCAAGCCGTTATCGTTATTATTATTATTATTATTATTAATTACCAGCAACCCAAATAGTGTTACACCAGAACTGACTCTCATCTTATAAAATACGTATTTTTATTCAGGGATTCATTTGTTCATCTAGTTGAGTCGGTAGGTAAGACTTGAGACAAGTTCTGCTATGCCAAAACCTTCTGATTACCGATTCCACGTCCATCTACACGTATGGCTTTCAATACGAATGGACGGCATTAGAATCAGGTAACGGAGTTGCGAAGCAGACTGACACCCATATTATGTTCCTGTTCCGGATAGTAGTAGTAGTAGTAGTAGTAGTAGAATCAAGAGTAGCGGTACTTAGATGTTAGAATGGCGGTATTTCGCTTCTTCGCCCTCATCTTTAGCAACACACAGCGGACGCTTCCTTTTCAAAATATGACGTCTCTCTACTCAGCTCGACTGCATTCGAAGACGAACCCCAAAACTCCTTCCTCCGGTTAGCTCGCTTTTTATCATTGACATACATAAATATAAATATTGTTTGTTATAAAAACAGTTTTTCCTGTTGTTGCTCTTGTGTGTTTTTCGTTTGCTTACACATTTGTAAAGTAAAAAAAATGTACGGATTGATTTAGGCCGACAATACCGCTATACATTAAAAGTTATTCTCATAATTTTCATGGTATTACTACTGGTACTACACTACTACAAATTAGTAAGGTCTCTAAGCCTCGTGACTCATATACTTTCGGCAATCGTTACGATGTCTTTTTACAACTGATGGTTCTTTCCTGTTTTCCTTTACGATCTTGTGTAGGAATTCCTGAAGTTTTGCTTCTTTGTCTGCCTTCAACACATTGTCAATTTGTGCATCTTATGTTGTTAAGATTGTGACCCCGAAAAATAAATCCTGGTAGGACTTCTAGTTCTCTTAGGGCGACTTAACTGTAAAAGTGAAATAACTCCGGTAAGAGGACACATTCTTTTCGTATGCCAGTTTCTGTTCTTGTGTACTTAATATTTTCTCTCTCTCTCTCTTTCTCTCTCTTTCTCTCTCTCTCCCTCTCTCTCTCTCTCTCTCTCTCTCTCTATATATATATATATATATATATATATATATATAAACAGGAGGTTTTCCCCAATATTGGATTATTCAAACGATTTCCCAAATGGTGTCAGGTCTTCCTAGCAACTCAAATAGATCTTTGGACTAAGCCTTATTAAATGTTTTGTGTAGTCTATCAAATATAGCAATACAAATTCAAGAAGAAATACGCCTATCTCCCTCTCTCTGTTTCTCTATCTATCCCTGATATCATCTATCTTCATTCCGAATAAAAAAATTGCATTGCTTGTTACAGTATCTGTTCTTTAGTGTTTGCGCTGTAATCCTGCTGCATGCTTTATTCATCAGAATCCCGTTATTCTGTGATTCATTAAGACGGTTGTCCAATGGATCTCATATTCATTAGCACCTGGTTTTTTAGGCAGTATCTATGAAGATGGACATGACAAGGTTTTCCAGTATGTCCCCACTATCATATTTCATCTTTTATTTCTGTAATCTTGTTGATGCTGAAATGCTCTAATGTTGTTAGCATCTCGATTATAATCACACCTGGTCTAGTCCCTTCATCTTGGCCAGTGCTGATTTACCAGTGTTTGTGAGATCATCTTCTAATGTGTTGTGTCCCCTAAGGCGACCATGATGCTACTTATTCTGTACTTTGTAGCTCTTAATAAAGTTTCTCTTTTTGTTATCTCCCTTAAACCTTGTTCCATCATCCATTTACCCAAGCTCACTAAGTATGTCATGCATTGTTTTCTTCTGTCCCTCTTGCCTTCAGTCTGTCCTGTGAGTATTAGACTTTCTAAGCCCCCTTTCCTTATTATGTAACCTAGAATTTTCAAACTATCTCTACCTGATGTTAAGTTTCTTTTTTTTCATTTTCACTAAAACTTTGTCGCTGCTCACATGTTCAGTTCATGGTGTCCTCAGCATCCTTTTGTATAAGCATATTTCTGCTGTTTCAAGACTCTTCTTCATCTTTGAGGAGATTATCCAGTATACACTGGCATATAGGAGGGCATATATCACATCACAATTCAGTACTCTTTTCTTTGTTTCATTAATTTCCACTCACTTTATTTTTTTTTTATCTTTAGGAAGAAACAACTGTTTTGTTGATCACATTTATCATCAAATTTCCGAATGACTTAAAACTGTTTTGTTCTAAAATACTAACCACCTCAGCACTTAGATCACAGTTTTGAGATTTAAAAAGACATATAAAAGGGATTTAGACAATGCTAACTTTTGAATAACATCTTTTGAAAATGGTGCCCAGATAGGTAATTACTATTTTAGAACAAAAATTGTTTTAATCATTTCGGTAATTTAATGATAAATGCCATCAACAAAATTGCTTATTCATAAATATAAAAGAAACAGAGTGGAAATTAAAAATGGTTATATTAAAATGAAATTATTTTTAAAGCTGAATTAACCTTATTATTCAATGGAGATATTCAAATTGGCTAAAATATCATGCACACTAGTCGATCTGCACTGGCCAAGATGAACAGGGACACAAAGGCAAGACCAGATGAGATGGTAATCGAGATCCTGTCAACCTTATAGCATTTCGGCCTCAATAAGATTATAGAAATAATAAATGAAACATTGATAGTGTCAACATACTGGAAGAGCTTAGCAGATCCATCTTCGTAGATACTGCCTGAGAAACCAGGTGAAAATAAATGCGATCTCCATTGGACAATCGTCTTAACATAACTAAGCTTATCATCCATATTCTGATGAATAGAGTAAGTAGCAGGATTACACTGCAAACAAGAAAAGAACAGCATATTTTCATTAAAGACACTGTAACAATAAAGGCAAATTTTATGATTGGAATGAAGATGTATGATATCAGTGAGTGAGAGAGAGAGAGAGGAGAGCAATATAAATTCAGAAAGACATAAACCTATGTTACATAGTGTTATGGTGTGGAACCATAGAAAGATAAGACGGACTCGGATTTTCAATATTGTTTTTAAAACATAATAAAATAAGTAACTCGATCTGTTTCATGGAATAATTGATTTATTTGCTTATTGGTTTTATTTACAAAAAAAGCAAGCATTTTGATAAGAAAAAAGGAGTAAACAAGGAGAAGAAAAAAGGAGTAAGCAAGTGTCTATTTTATTTTCTAGGTTTAAAACACACATCACTACTCACTGCAGTGTAATGCCAACAAGTTTCACAATAATGCTACAATTTGTCACTACCTTTTGCCTCGCTAGAGGAATACAAAAAAAAACATTCAAAAAGTGTCATAAGTTTAACTACCTTGTCAGGTATGACAGAAAGTGGTGACTTGCCCTTCTAATAACGAGTCTGTTTTTCAGTCCAAAACGTACAGTCACCAGCATAAAAAAAATCCTATATTGATGATCTACATAAATGGTACCCAGACTAAATTCCGAGATTACAAATGTATTAGGGAAAATATTCTCGCCAGGATAGATGACAACATGTGTTGCAAACAGGAACTTAAAAAAAAACCCCAAAAACTCGATAATTAATAAGAGGAGATAGGTTCTCCTGTCATCTGGTTTACACTCCTACCTGGTCTTTTGACCAGGAGTATAGGTTCATCCCTTGTTTTCTGTTTAGGATTGGGTTTCTAGTTCTTTCTAATATTTACTTCAACTCTATACTCCTAATGTCTCCATGTAAACTCTGAAATTTTATTTACTATTTATTTATTTTTCTCCTTAATAGGAGTAGATAGGTTTGTCAATTGCCCTGTTCACACTCTTCCCTGATCTTCTGAACAGGAGTAGTAATTTATCCCTTATTTTCTGTTCAGCACTGGTTTTTTGCTTTCTTTTAAAGTTTTCTCATTCTCCTTCACTCCCAATAGCTTCTTGTGTCTGTGTGGCATTATTACCTTGCATGTAGTAAATTAATTTTAAAAAAAACCTGATAAAATGCATATAGATTCACATGAACACTTCACATTCATGAATTCTTCAAAGGATGCATCCAGTTTGAAGATGATAGAACAAAATTAACAAAATACATTGTTGGTTGAATTAGGTTTTGTGGAAAATATTATTGTAAAAGTAGGTTCAGTGACACTAGAGTATGTATGAAATTTTAAAAAAACCCTTATTCCATCAGATTATTTGATTAGCTACATACTTTTTAGTACAAAACAAATGGTTGGCATTTTTTGTGTCTTTTAAGAATTTTTCACACCCTCCCCAAACTTATTAAAACCATCCCTTTCATTAAGTTCACACTTTCTGGACTTTTAATTGATTTTTTAATCCCTTTTCTAAGCCAGACATTTACTTCATAGTAAGACAAATTCTGATTCTTAAGGAGCCAGATAGATAGATAGATAGATAGATAGATGGATGCATGCATACAATTTATCGTTTAATGATTCATTGGTTCCAATCAGTTCTGTTCATAGACACAATTTTTAATTTTCTGCTTGAGCTCATCAAATTTGCCATCTTTTGTACTGTAGAAGAAAATTGTGGGTACAGCAAATGCCGCGGAGAACATTGCATCTATCTGTATACAAAAAGAAAAATGATAACATTCATTGCTTAATTGATAAAATCATGTCAAGGAAGGGGGGTACAGAATGAAGAATGAAGAATGAAGAATAAAGAATAAACTATGTTTTTGAAGAATTAACTCTCTCTCTTTCCTCTCTCCATATATATTAGAAAGAGAGAGAGAGAGAGAGAGAGAGAGAGAAAATAGAGAGAGAGAAATTTGCATGTTTAATTTTTATTTTCTGAACCATGAAAGAAGGACTTGAAAATAAGCTTATATATATATATATATATATATATATATATATATATATATTCCAGAGAGACAAACAGACAGATAGACAATACTCTAAACACAGTTAGCCTTTTTTTCCAATCCTTTTTTCATGGTTCAGAAAATTCAAAAACAAACATGTACACGCTCTAATTATAACATTTACTGTAATAATAATTATTATTATTATTATATATGTGTGTGTGTGTGTGTGTAGTGGAGGCAAAGATATTCATTCTTCATATATTAAGAAAAATATATAAAAATTATTATTATTATTATTTCCCTTGATTTCTGGGTCCCAGACAGAGAACTAAGATCAGAAATGTTTTCATGACATCTTCTATTGATCGTTTTTGTTTGCCTCCACCTCCACCCCACGATCACACACATTCTACTTAAATAAAACTCTTCATAATATCTGAGCTGTATTTGAGTACGATTTTTTGTATTTCTTTAAGGCATGGGCTACCAGGAATCCCTTCAATGTGTCTATCAGAATATTTTCCAATCAAACCAAGTGCTCCAACTACAACTAAAATTATTGATGTTCTCATGCGCTACATTTTTGAGAATTCCACTTCAAGTTCCTTGTATTTTGATAGTTTTTTAAGATCTTCAAAAATACATTACAATCTGCAGGAATGTTGATCTCAATAAGAAAACACATTCAATTTTTGTGGTCTTTTGATCACAATGTCTGCACAATTAACTTTGATTGTATGTTATAAAGTCTATGTAACCGGCGCTGAGTGATGTTCATACCAGTTTCTTGCAGCTCCCTTCCTGTAAAAGTTGCAAATTTTCCAGTGCAGATATTGGCCCACTTTATCATGGGTAGTTTTATATTCAGTGGGTGCTAACACCGTGAAACCTGATAAAAGATAGTCAATTGTTTCTGGATATTTATTACAGAATCAGCATTTAGGTTCAACACAACTTTCAGTATGTCTGCTTGGTAATTTCTAGCACGCAAGCATTGTTCCTGTGTAGCAAGAATAAAACCTTCAATCTCAGCTTTTAACCCTGCACTAGACAACCATTAATGAGTATGGGATTTTATCTACATCAGCTTGTCTGGTACAAGCAGAGTATTGATCATGAAGAGGGCTTATCTTGCCATCATTTCTGCATTTGGTACATTGCATTTGCTTTCTTTTTTAGGTTCTTTGCTGTTGCAGTAGATGCATTATGTTTTATTTTCACTTCTTCATTCACCTGAAATTCCTTTTTAAATTTGTTGACTTTCTTTATTACTGAATAAATTTTCTTATTTCTTTCAAAATTCTTTCATACAGATCATCTTTGAAGACCGACTGTTGTAGTTTTGTAAAACAGTTCTAGTTGAACTAATCCTCTGCCTCCTTCAGATCTCCTTCAGGGGGATGAAGGACAGACAGAACAGAAGGGGCAAAAGGGAGTCTCCTTGAAAGATTCCTCGTTGGATATTCAAAATTGGAAGTGGCGGTACCTTTGATGTGATTTAAGTATAATGTGGTTTTCAACAGTTTTATGCTATATTTAAGGAAATTTATTATCACCAACGAGACTTTGTTCATTTCCAAAGCCTTAAGGATCCAAGAGTGTGGCACAGTACAAAAAGGCTTTACGGTAATCTATCCAAGCTGCACTAAGATTTCTACCTTTTCCCTGCAATTTTCCAGGATCATTTCATTTATTAGTTGTTGATCATTGCAAACATATGAACCTCTTCGATATCCCTTCTGTTCCAGATGAAGAATGTTGTTTTCATCGAGAAAAGAGTAAGTACAGTTCATCAGGACAGACGGTATCAATTAATATTTTATTGGCCAATAATTTTTTGGATCATCTGTTTTTGGTAGGAGATATGAAATAGCTTCAGTGATCTATTCTGAAATTTCATTGGGGTTATGAATTAGTATTAATAATGTTTGTGCAAGAGTTTTATGAATTGATGACAGATGATAGAGCCAAAGGTTGGGTACCTTGTCGATTCCTGGGGATTTTTATTTTGGGGTTTTTGTCAGATCTTGTATATCTTGGTTCTATTTTTCCATTCTTGAACTGGTTTATTCTTCATTCTTTCTTGGTCTTGTTTGATCAACTCTGCATTGGAATTATATTCCTTTAGGTTGCTCTAAATATTCTTCCAAAATCTTTTCACTTTTTCAATAGATGGTGACTTTTAGACTTCTATTTCTGCTTTACCAATTTCCCTGTATAACCTCTTGAGGTCCATTTGGAAAAACTTATTTTGTCGATAGAACTGAGAACACTTTTTAGATGATCTTGTTCTTTGTGACTTTAATTGCAGTTTCTGTTTAAGTATTTCCTTGATTGGTGGAATTTTATTTACTTTTTAAATTTTATATTTCAACTTGATTTTCTTGCTTTTTGTGTTGAAGTAAAAGGATATTTTGTAGATTCCACAAAACTTTATTGTGTGCCTATAAGTCAACTAAATAAAAGCAAAAATTATATTTCTGATCACTTTGTATAAAACAAGCATTAATCTGACGCGTTTCAATTTAATCATTAATTTACAGGAAGGAAACCGCAAGAAACTGGTACGAGCATCACCCAGAACCGATTCCAAAGATAGGACCTGTAACAATTTTATAAGACTTTACAATATAAGCAGACAGAATAATCAAAAACCATAAAAACAGAATGTGTTTTTGTATTGAGATAGAAGTTCATGCAGATTGTAATGTATCTTTGAAGACCTTAAAAAACTATAAAAATACAAGGAACTTTAAATGGAAATCTCAAAAATATGGCACATGATGACATCAATAATTACAGTTGTAGTTGGAGCCCTCAGTTTGATTGGAAATGCTTTCTATAGACTAATTGAAGTGATTCTTGGTCGCCCATGCCTTAAAGAAATATGAAAAACTGTACTCACAAGTACATCTCAAACCTTACAAAGCATTTTATCTATGTAAAATCTGTGACATCTTAGTGTTTGATCAGTGGTAAATGTTATGATGCCATTTCTGAACTTAGGTCTCTGGTTGGGACCCAGAAGGAAATTAGTATAAAACAGAAATCAATAAAACAATAATAATAATGTAATTTACGTAACTCCAATATTTTTCAACACTTAGTGAAGTGTGCAATTTGAGAAAAGAAAAGACACAGTTTTTGACAATGTTCACCAATATCTCGACAGTATGTTTGTCTTCATTTTATGTTTAAAAATTTGTATACAAGTATAAAAATGTAAAAAATCTGCAAAATTATAAGTCTTCGTACAAACATCACTTGCCTTGAGAAAACAGTTGTAGTGATAGTCAACATATCAAAATGAATGAAATGCAGCCATTGTGAAAGAAATGCAATTGAAACGTACGTAATATAATGGTGATCATGATTATCTTGGAATTTTCCCTTAGTTGATTAGCTACTAAGAGGAATTAATCAAACTAATGAACTAATGTGGTGCATCCTCAGTAGTAATACATTTGTAACAAAGCAGTCTACCCTGCTTTACTCAGAAAAAGGGACCGGCAAGCCATTGCAATATTTTGACTTGAACATCAACTTGAACCACAATTAGATTGCAGGGAGTGGTGACTACAGTGGGACAAAATGTACTAACTGAATGATGAATCAATGAATCAACTAATAAAATAATTATAAGGTTTGAAATATATTTTATAAATAGCCAGAAAATATACTTACTTCTGCTGCTGGTAAGGCTCTTGCATCGTTTGGGTTATCCTTTGCATAAAAATAAATTTTTTGAAAATAGCGCTTTGCTGTTTCACCATACTTGTAATAATGTTGCTGCCAAAAGGAACAATAAATTGAAAATAAAGTATTCAACAAAATGAAATTTCACAGATAAAACAGATTTTTTAAAAATTCAGCAAGAATACTTTTCACTGGGCAGGCATAAAAAAAAAAAACAGTAACCTTTAATTAGCAGCTAATAAGGGATTTTTTCTTTTCTTTTTTTAAAAATCTTATTTACCTCAAGCAAAGTAGTAAAGTCACTAAGATATAAGGGTGTGAAAGAATTATTAAACAGAAACCTTATAAACGAGCAAAAATAACAAAAGAGTAATCAAGAAGAGAGTAGATAAAGATTGATAGTGAATTTAAATTTTTGAAGATCAAAATTGGTCATAAAGCATGGAGCCAGAAGAGATTTCAACAAGCGAGAGGTAAAAGAGAAGAAACTGTTAACATAGAACTTATGGTTATATCTAGCCAATTTTTATGGTAATTTACCCACACAGGCATGGACTCTCCTAGCTATAAATAAGAGCTGGTACTGCCTTTTGGTGGAGGGAAGTTTCTAGGAGTCAGCTTTGAGAGTTGGATCAAGCATTCTTGCTGTCACACTCTCATTTTTATATGTTTGTATTATTGGTTCTGTTAATATATTTGTTTAACTCGGTTCCTCTCTTGTGTCTTTATTTCTGGCCTTAAGAAGGCCACAAGACAATTAAACTTGACTCTGGGTTAGAACCTATAATACTGCTGATTCTTCTTTGGATTTTATCAAGAATCTCTAAAATATGTGAGAGCAATATTCTAAGGATGGGCTAATAGTAGACATGCCAAAACAAACAAAAACAACTAAAGTATACTATGTCTTTCAGCAGCAGCTGTTGACAGCTAGCCCACTGCTCCAGTCATCAGAAGCAGTTCCAGCTAGCCAGCCATCATCATCTCCACCTTACCATTGACTGTTGCTTCAACCAGCTTTTACCATTCTACTCCAGCCATCTTCCCCAGCAACAATGATTATGTAATAAACTGCACTTTACAGGACAACGCACTTCACCGATTACAAAGCTGTCATTTTCTGGACACAACTCTTCAGCACAAAACTGTCCTTCTAAGGACAATCCTATTCTCACCCTCTACATGAGCTATTTGATTATTGCTATTAATTTTATTATTTTTTTTGCTTAATGCACTTTAACATTAAGAAAACAGAATGCATGTTTATTAGCAAAAGGAACAACCCAAAATGAAAATTACAAATTGGAGATACAAAAATCAAACAAGTACAACAATATAAATATTTGGGAAGTGACTTAACAGAGGACGGAAAGTGTAACAAAACATAAGCACACTATAAGGAAGCATAAAAATATTGTTTAGAAACAAAGAAAAGAGTACTGACCTGTTACATGATCTGTTTAACGTGAGGTACCCAAGCACGTACACTCGGGTCACTGGTCAAAATATTGGTCATTTTTTCTCATCACCACCTTACGTTTGATTGGGCACAAATCGTGTCTTAGCTTGTCATGATCTACACTTTCATTGCAGCCCAATGGTTAGGAAATAAAGAAAGGCCTAACTCAAGTAGCACTTTCTTTATAGCCAATGTTTCTTTATAGTAAGCTTATATGTGGCACAAGGTCGAAAAAAATTCCCAAAGATATTCGTGCGTAAGGGAATAATACGCATCCCATGGGAATTGGAACTCAGCTTTCCGATTAACAATTCTGAACCACTATCCATTACATCACCCACACATCCATGCTTACAGAACCTGATGTTCCCAAATGGTTACCTATCTACATACCGACCAGGCTCCACATTGCTTAACTTTGGTGATCATACAGAAACTAGTGTTTCAATGTCATGTGACCGTGAGTGTTGTTTTTGATACAATAATATCAAAGATAACAATATCAGAAAAATTAATATTTTGCAGATGAATGTTAAAATAAACCAAGTCATTTATTTAAGATTTAAAATTTGTTCAAATTTGTATAAAAAAAGTAATATTTATCCATGATTTTCTATATTCAAGAATCAATTTAAGAAAACATTAATATCTGACAATGGGGTTATATTTAAATATTTTTCATGTAGCAGAGTTCAAAATCTTAAAAGGTGCCAAAACTGTAAATCAAATTTGATGTTTAAATTGAAATGTCTACTGTATAAGGCCAGCTGCGGTATAAGAAAGACAAAACAGCAAGTCCTGAGAGAGCTAATTTCATCATACAAAGAGAACATAACACAGACATTATATCAAAAGAAAGAAAAGTGCCTAATGACCAATTAAGACCCAGAATTTAAGAAGAAGATGTCATGATGGAAGAAGACATTGACAGAGAAGAAAGGAAGTGTTCTTCAGATCAGGATGATGCAATAGAAAACAAGCATATGGATGACAGTGAAAGTGACTCAAATATGGAAGATGAAATGGGATCAAGATCTCCATTAAAAAGACCAGGATATAAACTACAAGATGTAGAATTTTGAGAACAACCAAAGGCATTAAACCTCCTCGGTTCAGGGAGGTTTAGTGGATTGGTAAATAGTATTGTACCTATTTGCATATGTTAAGTAGAAGATATATAAAGTGTATAGTAAACTAAGAGACGAGCAAGAAATTGACAACTGATCACGTGTCTTAGAACAACCTAATACAGCATCAACATTATATCTTTCAAAAATATATCACTTAATTTTTATATTTGAAAAGGATACTGTTTGCAATTTACAAAAGATTCTTTTAGATATATATTCTCTTCTTTTTCTAATTTAAAAGAATGCTTGTTGTTATTTTTAAAATTGTTTCTTTAATCAAATGTAAAGGTTTTTTGTTTTTGCATATTTTTTGATTTAAGCTATATATCTACATATTTTCTAAATAAAAATACTTACACGAACTCTTAGTTCTTTGTAAGTGGGCATATCCTTGACATCCTGAAAAAGACATAAAGATACTCAGTTGGCAATTCAATATTTCCTTCAAGCCCCATTTATATACTCATTGGGGCAACTGTAATGCCAAAAACAAATACAAAAGTTGTCCATTATGAGTTGCGTCCAGAATTATTTGCAGGTGTCCAATTCCATTCTTTAAGTGACGTTCTTTTTTTACAGCATTACAGAGGCTTTTTGCTATTCTTTATCGCCATGCAACAATTAATAAAAGGCCCTTTTATATGACATGAATAAGAAAACCTTCAGAGCTGTTTGAATTGGATGAGCGCAATAATTTAAGTTTGTTTGTTTCTATTCAGTTCATCATGAAGTTTGGCAAGTTTTTGCATGAAGTTTTGTGTTTGTATTTGGATGGAGGATTGTGGTTTCAAACCTGACTTTTGTCATCCAGATGACAGTTGTTGGTCATAAAACAAATACAATGTTCACCAATTGTTATTGAAACCTCACAGAAGAGGAAAGATTCTGTCTAAATATGACTGAAACTGCAAATGGCAGGAAGGGTAAGAAGGTATTATGTGCACAAGATAGATATTGGTTGGCCCTGGACTAAAACTGAGAATATTGTAGTTGTCAGGGAAGCATCTGAGGCCAGGAGTGAGCTTTAGCCCTAGCAAGTGTCCGAAGCAAGTAGCCTCTTAGAATGTATGACCATTCATCAGGACTGGTGCAGGTTTCGGATATGCTCATTGGTGATGAAATCTTACATGTTTAGTTTTAGATGCAATGAATGCTATCAGTCATTGTTTTACCCAATGAACCTTGAGTTGTGTCAGAGGAGAACAGAATTACTTGTTCACACAATAAGTCAGGGACAGATTTGATGTTGGTTTTATGAGGAAATCTGCATCGATTTACGGATATTTTCATATTGAACTCATTTTAAGAATACGTATATTTAAGATGTAGATTGTAGATTGAGGTAGATGTAGATTGAAATTATTTCTGAAAATAATGTCAATTCTGGAAAAAAAGATTTACTTGGATCTTTTTTTCAACAACTTGAATGTATCATCAATTTCTTTACACACAAAACCTGTTGTCATTTTGACGAGTGAAAGATTTTTAACCGTCCATCAAGTCAAGACAAATGCCCACCCAGAGGAAAGAATCATAAAAACAATCTAAACTCTTTACATGTGGGATTATTTTTAGAGAACAAAAAATTAACTTCTTGGGCAACTACATCTGTTAATGACTTCACTTCTCTACACAAATGAAATATTGCTTACTCAGTCATGGACAGATTGACTTCATATGGAAATCTGAACTGATGTAAAATATTTTCATGATTAACTTATTTAAAACTTATTTTTAAAAAAAAACGGTATTAAATAAAACTTGAAATGCAGATGAAGTTAGTAATACTAAAAAATGCTAATTTCAGAGAAACCTTCACTACAGATCTTTTTGATAACAACTTGGATCACATCATCAGTTTCATGACCTGAAAACTGTTTTACCTTTGGTGAATAAAACATTTTTATCCTCCATCAAAACAAATACAAGTTCCTATCCAGAGAATATGAAGATAGGGAAAAAAGTCCTTAGATTTGAAAGATATTTTCCCATCCTCAGCACATTCCATTTACAATTTGTTTTATTATTAGATTATTTTATTAATGCCAGTATGTTAAGAAATAAGAAAATAAAAATTCAAATATCTCAGCCATGTTATTTTAAAAAAATCAGATCTTCCTATCGGTAGAGAACAAAAAATTAACAACTGGCTGAGTGACTGTAATTGTTAATGGAAGCAATTTTGTTTCAGGCACATAAAATTAAATTTTATCGTATTGACATCATTTCAAAAAATGTCAAACTACTTTTACAGCAACTTAATAAATTCAGTTAATGAGTTGAAATTTTCACTTGGTAAAAATTCTTTAAAAATGAAAAAAAACAAGCTCTGATATACTTACACGAAATTTTTTCAGAAAGGAGCGTTTGATTTCATCGTCCGACTGTGAAAGAAAATAAGCCACAAAATGAAGTCTAGGTAAAGTTATGAATTTATTTGGAATTTAAACCAAATAAATATTCGTTTTAATCATTTTTTCCCTTTCACCTGAACAAAGGAGAAAGGAACTTTTATGCATCACAAAAGTTAATAACTGTGTTGGGAATCAGTATTTATAGAGATTTGTCATCAGTTTTAAAGAGCCTAGTTTGGCACAAGGCTATAGGTGTTGAGCTCTCAGAGATGACTATATTTGATCCTAATTTATATTACTTATTTCAATAAAAGTCAATGATTGTGTTGGGAATCAGAATTATTGTGTTTAGTTTGGCACAAGGTGATAATATCTGAGTTCTGATTGCATCATAATGATTTTTATCAGTCAGCAAAAAGATTGAGGCTGATTAGTTCAAAATACTGAACAAAATACTTGAGGTGTTCCCTTACATAAAGACTTCTTGATAATTTTAATATATATGTGATTCGTCAAATGTCTTTATTTTTTCTGTTTCTTATTCAAACATTTTTATTTAGAAAGAGTTTTACATAATGCTGACAGTGGAGTAACAAACATTTTGCAAATGGTCTAAAATCTAACCCAAAAGATTGTTCTCAAAATAATTACCGATTTCCACCTGAAAACATATTTTTATTTAATTATTCAACTTAAATTTTTAAAATTGATTTAAGCCATTTTGTTGGGATATCCTAGTTTTGTTCATAATTTATCTACAGAGACTATATTTTCTGTTTTATCCTTTTCAAAATGATAGAAATATTTATTTAATATTGATCTCTTCACTGAGGTTTGCTTGTTTTTTTTTTTGGCGAGTGCATATGACTACATCGATAAAAAAATATTTCCAAAGATTATTTAAAGCCAGAAAATAATTTCTAGATCAAAGAATTTTATTTTCAGATAATAATGGTTTAATGATACAAGCTTTACTAATTAACCAATAGCTGGGAAGAAGAGATGGATTCATACCTTCCCAAGGGTATTTGCGTGTAAGGGAAGATAATCAGAACTCGTCTAAGTGATTAACAATTCCTAGCCATTATCCATTACATCACCCGGACATCTAAGTTTATAGTACCTGCTATTCCATAAAGGTCATCCATTGTGGTACTGACCAAGCTCAATGTTGCTTAACTTCAGTGATCATTCGGTAACTATTGTTTCAACGTGATATGACCATAAGCCTAATGATTTAGTGATACAAATCTTACTAATTAACCTATAACTGGTGGGGTGGAGAAGAGGTTGATTCATACATTTACCAAGGGTATTTGTGCAGGAAGTGGAACTCAGGTAATCGATTAAAACTTCTCAGCCATTATCAATTAAACCAGCTGCACATGTAAGCTTACGGTACCTGGTATTCCCTAGCAAACACCCATCGCGGTACTGACCAGGCTCAATGTTCCTTAACTTCTGTGATCATTCAGGAACTAATGTTTCAAAGTAATGTGGCCGTAAGCCTCAGAATATAGTGTAAACAACATGAATGTATAGATTGCCCCAGCTTTGTATCAATGGTTCAGATGTAATGGTCTGGAAATTATTTTCTTGCCATGTATCAGGACACTTGGTATCTATATATGATAGTTCAGATGCCATAACCTAGCTAGCTATTGTGGCTTACAATGTGCCTCAATTTATGATTACGGTCCATTCATCCACTGGGGATCATTTCAGCAAGACAATAATGGCAAACTGGTTCATGAAATGTAACAATGCACTTTTTACATTAAAGTGGTCTTCATAGTCAACGGATTTCAATCCCAGTGGGCAATTTCGGAATGTATTGGAAAGGGAGATAGTAATCCTAGAAGAATTGCAAGATGTCATAAAAACATAGATACATGTCTTTGAAACACAAACTATTATCGTGTCATTTTTTTTTATATTTCTCAATGTTCTCACTTACTTTTTTTGAATTGGCATCTGGGAACTGTAAAGAAAAACATAAAAAGGTATAATTACAAAGTGGTAATTAAAATTGTTAAAATAAAGTCAACAATCCGAATGGAAATGATTTGGAGTTGATGACAATTGAATAACGTGAGGAAGAAGCAGAGAAATACACTCAAATAATAGTCAGTATTAAAATATTTTAAAATGTTAAAATAAAAGCAACAATCTGAATGGAAATGCAGTGGATTCAGTGACAATTGAATAATGCAAAGAAGAATCAGAGAAATAGGCACAAATAATAATCTGTACAATATTTAAAAGACCCAACCTAATGGATAATACACAATAGGTGGGGTGTAATGGATAACAGCTTGAAATGAGTACTCAGCTCTTCAAGTTTTCATTCCACTTGGGTTCGTTATATTCCCGAGCACAAATAATTTTTTAGAAAGGTTTGTATCCATTACTATGTGTTGATTAGCAGGACACACGGGGTTTTATAGCATTGATTGGCAAACAGTCTACCACAGAAAGAAATGGCAGCCGACTGTTGGAAAATCTTCTGCCTAGTCAGTCATGATCATTTAAGCATCTATCACATATGATATTGTTATGTCTTCCTTGCTCCTTGAATGAAGGTGACACAATCAAAATATTACTGTATATATTAGATGTATGTAGTAGTAGTATTTATATAAAATAAAACTTTTATTGTTACTTATTATGCAATATAGGTAAACAATTCAACTAGAAAAAATTTAAATAAATACAATGTATCTAAATACAAAGTAGAGACATGTCATAATAGATCATCCCATCTTAAATAAATCAACAATGTTTTGCAACAATTTTTAAAATTAAAACATTTTTTGCAGATTGTTAATTTTTTATGTTGTATACTGTATATATATATATATATATATATATATATATATATATATATATATATATATATATATATATATATTTGGTGGAATTTAAAACATGTTGCCATAAAATGTAATCTAACGTGTAATGAATGCATTTGCATCTGTCTAAGTAAGTCAGGCCTCAAGAATCAAGAAAACAAACAGGGGCAAAAACATTCATTGCAGATTATGCAGAATTCATGTAAAAACTACTGCAAATGATGCCGAAAGTTGTCACTTCTGCACAAAGGAATTTAAAATCTGTTATAGAGTAGTTTCACAGTGGAGGCTTGTATTTCACTAAGTCGGTCCTCAAAATCGATTCACAGTCTTCATGTTTGCTGACTTTTACGTCTTTTGTATGCAACACTATTTTAAACTTGTATATTCAGTATTTGAATGTGTGCAAATAAAATTTACCAGTTACCAGATATGCGGCTCATGGCTTAAACAAATAAAACTTTATTTGAAATACATTTGCCATCAGAAAAGAGCATAACGCTAAATACAATGGCATTAAATATTACTGTATACAAGTATTACAATTCCTACTTACCAATTTATTTTTTGGTATGCCTCCAAGAGTAACATACAGTTTCCTTTCTTCAATTCTTTTAATGAGGTCACTGCTTCCATGAAGATCATAATATATTGCATCAGTTGACATATCAGTTATTCTGCATGTTCAAAAGAATTTATCAATTGCAATAGAAGATTTCCTCAATGAAAATATTTATAATCAAAATTATAATATTACTTACTGAATTTGGAAAAGTATCAGAAAAAAGCATTTGAGTTATATCTGAAAAAGTGCGTCCAAAATGTAGAGTAATCAATGTTGTAAAAAAATAGAATTATCATAGTAGAAAACTGTCAGTGTCAAAGGAAAGATTTTAAGTTATCCAAGTGTATCTTCTAAATAAATGGCATAAAAATATTTATAGAAAAGACAGAAAGAAGCCAGGCTATGTTGATTGGAAAGTGATTTAAGTTGAGATGCCAAATTAGGATCTGTTACATTACAGAACCTTGTTTGGATTTTGTCAAGAACCAAAAGATGAATAACAGGAGGAGCAGACCAGATATGGCAAGAGAATGCAATGTACGGATGAATGGTAAATTTGTAAATTTGAAAGATGGACTCTGATGAAAGAAACTTTCTGGCATGACACAGTAACCCAACTTTCTTTGGAGTAGATGCAGCTATTGACCAATGTAGTCATTCCACTTCAAGTCATTTGAAAAAGTGCAAAAAGATGCAATGCCTTACCCCCCCAGGAGCCTAAAAATCAACCATGCTGATGGCAGGCAGATAAATGTCTCTATAGTGGTTAAATGAGAGTAGTTATACTTTGGAGGCGTTAAAATTTACAAGCCATTTCCTGCCCTAGTTAACCATTGATTGGAGGTCCTTTTCAAGAGCAGCAGCCAGGTTTAATTTGTCAGCTCTGACAGATTTGCTATTGAAAAAGGAGTAAATAATAGTGTCATCTGTATAAATGCCTACTTTGGAACTGATGACATCAGGAAGATCAAAGATTAAGATCAGAAACAGTGTAGGACCCAGGATAAGCTCTTGGGGGGGGCATCTGCGTTCATGTGAAAGGATCTGGAAGAGAGATTGATCAAAATGATCTTCATTTCATGAGTTGATAGGAATGGTTGCATTAAATCAAACACTCGTCTTGTAATACCGTAGCTCTGGAGCTTATGTAGAAGACCATTGTGTTGAACCCTGTCAAATGACTTTGAGATACCTGGAGTCACAGCTTGAGTTTTGTTCTTATTATTGATATACATATTCAGTGATGGCCGTTAATACATCAATGGCAGACTTGGAGAAACAGAAGCCATATTATTTGTCTAAAAGTAGGTTGTGACAAGTAAGACCTTTAAACAATTCAGCATTGATTAAAGTCTCCAGTAATTAGCCGAAAAATGGGAAAAATTATCGCTTCATTAGTATGAAGCGATAATTAGATGGTTAGAAGGTTTTCCCAAATTTTTAAAAACAGGAACTACAGAGGAGGACTTCCAACAAGCAGGAAGCAGTGAGGCAATAGTTGTAGAGTTTGGAGAGAACTGGAGCCAACTTGGCAGCACATTTCTTTAGAATAACAGCTGAAATTCCGTCACCGCCACTTGTCTTATCGTAATCAAATTTAGAAATGATATCGAGGACCAGTGATGGGGTTATGCACATATCACACAGGGAAAAAATCAGGTGTGGGTACTCCAAAAAAGTTGGAAGAGAATTTCCGAGCAAAACATTCAACTTTATTTTCTGTAGATGTCAGAACTTCGAATTGAAGGAGGGATTAAGGGTTTCAGTTCATTCACTTATGTTTTATAGATTGTGAAAGTATGCCACTAAGTACTAATGGAACTGCTATGTAACCTTGACATATTTGGAAAAGATATTAAAATATGTGTACGATTGGAACATGAATTCAGTAAATATTAAAAAACAGAAACGTGCATAAAACAAGGATATGTCTTCTCACCGGACTTATTCAACTTTTTATTCAGGTGATTTTATGTTTTATTCGAACTATTGTCCTCATCTTTTTTATCAAACGTTTCCCATTGTAAGTACTTCTTCAGGTGGATGGAATGTCGAACTGAACCCTTTATTTCGCTCACTGGGGTAGACTGTTTCCACGTGCCATATTTGGATGTCAAAAATCAGTTATCTCCTGTTAATTTCCAGGAAAGTTCTCCACCGGGTATTGAACTCACAACTATTTGGGTCCTGTCACTGGATCTAACCAACGCCTTTATCCACTGATTTTGGGTATGGATTTCTGAATTATAAACCTCATTATAAATATTTTTAAAAAACATCATATTGCAATTTTTGCTGTTATCCTTGCATGTTTTTAACAAGGATATTGTTCTCATAATAACAATAACAATAATAATATCCGAATAATTTAAATAATCTCCATAATACCTCATCTCAGAAATATAGACAGACTCTGAGGTGATTTTGAATAAATTAATATTCTTACAAGGATTCATTAATGGTGGTCACAGTTTATTAACATAAGATATGCAGGTGACATATTGTTGATAGCAGACACAGACAACTGCAAAAAACTCCTACAAAAAGTAGTGAAGGAAAGCGAGAAGAAAGGGATTAGCATCAGCTGCAAGAAGACAGAGTGTATAGTTATTAGCAAATGGAACAGTTCAACACGCAAATTACAAATCGGAGATATAAAAATCAAGCAAGTATCACAATATCTGCGTGTTGTTTTAACAGAGGATGGAAAGTGTGACACCAAAATCTGAAAGTGCATTGGGATGATGAAATTTACCTACTAAAACCCAAGCAAAGTAATAAGAAACAGGAATTTTTTGTTAGAAGCAAAGAAATGCGTACTGAATTGTTATATATTAACAGTTCTCCTATCTGACAGTGAATGCTGGACAATCTACAAACAGATGAAGAAGAGACTTGAGGCAATAGAAATGTAGTTCTGCAGAAGCAAACTTAAAATTCCATTGACTGAACAAGTGAGCAAACACAAAACTTAAGAGAAAATACAAACAAAAAGGATATATAACATCAGAAAGAGACAACTGAAATTTCTAGGGCATATAACGAGGAAAGAGGGCTTAGTAAATTTGACACTAACAGGATATAATGAAGGGAAAAAGGACAGAGGAAAACAGCACATAACTTAACTAACAAGCTTGTGTAAATGGATGGTAGAACAGGGTTTATATAAAGAACCCATTTAATATATCGGTTGTTTTTTTTTTCTACATTATACATCATTTTTCCATTATAATCCAATCAATGTTTGTCTTTTATTTTCCAAGCCCTCTTTCCACATTAAGTGCCCCAGAAATTTCAAATGTCTTATGGTTTCTCTTGATCTTATTTGTAGGGACACACTCGGCTTAAAGGTTTAACGTTGCTTATGGAAAAGAAAAATGTTAAGGAAACATTCAGCACTCATTGACCGAACATCCAATGCTGCTGCTACTTCTGGTTTAAATAGGAAAAATCTTTCTCTTAAAACAGTTTCTCAGTAAAGTACATTTCTCAAGTTCTGCTTTGAATATACGCTCTTTTAGCGCTAGAGGGCGTCGTCAGTGATGTTCTGGAAATGGATCATTGGGCAGTTTCAGGTCTTTCAAACATCATACTGACCTCACCAAGTTGACCCCATCAGAGCTGGGTCAGACTCTGAAACGCCCTCTAAAAATGCTTGTAGACACTAACTTTTATAAATATACCCCGTTATCACACATTTTCTATAAATATACCCCGTTATAACACATTTGATTGGAGATTGACCAACAGCCAATCACAACGGTGCGAGCTTTATTTAAACTGTTTACGGGTAATTTTTTTCTTTTTTCATTCTTTTGTTTTTTTTGAGTGGACACCTATTCATCGGATACTTAGAAGGTAATTATGTTTTCCGTTTTTACCCACTTCTCATCGAGTTTCATTTCACCAGCTAATAATTACTATTTACAAAGATAAGAAAAATTCGGCAATTAAAATTAATAAATAAATTACCGATAATTAAACCGAGAGTGCTTATAAATATAATAAAACGATTGAAACATGTTGACGAATAAAAGAAGAAAAATAAATAAATTACCGCGAGTTAACCGAGAGTGCTTATATAATAACATAATAAAACGTAACTGTTAATGATCTTTCTAGTTTTGATTGAGGCTTCCTTCCTAACCTTTCGTTTGAAGTAATGTAGAATGCTAACATTTTGATTGCAATTAGATTTTCTTCAACTTCCAATTATCCATTTTAGTTGTTGCTGCATTTGGAAATCTTCCAGTGATGTAGTTTCTGTTATTTGGTCCAGTTCTTTCTGATTCAGTATCGCAAGTCCACTAAGTTCAAAGAAGAGACCAACATCATTCACTCGCTCAAAGCCATTTTTAAACATCGATCTGAGAAAGCGGTTATATCCAGCTGAGAGTTTAGATATTTCTGAATGAGCCTGGTGTCATGCATAACATTTATATGTAGGTCTTGTACATTTGAGTACATGATTCAAGTTTTTATGTTGAGGTTTTAGGTTTGTAACAAATTGTGATATTGGGCGAGACTATACCAAACAATTTCATTCATGTCAGAAGACATTATTTAAAATAACAGTCATGTCAACTCAAAGATGGATATTAATTAAAAATAAAGTTTATTTTAATAAGAAATAATGATGGGTTAGAAAAAAATCCATTATAATAACTAATACTTTTTCTGACTGGAATATGAAAATAAAACTATCAAATAAAGAATTCAAGAGATCCCACCAACAGTTTTGGATTACTTAAGAAGCTAAATGATGTTTACTTTCTTGGTCCTGTGGCCTAATTGAACATAGTGCACTTCAGCTAAATGTTTACCTGTGGCAAAAAATGACATTATAACTTTGATTCATTTTATGTCAGTAATGACCTCTTGATTCCTAGGTCAGGTGACATTCCCTATTTCAGTTAGAGTGATATCAATTCAAACAGGTATAGTGTTTAAAGACTAATGCCTAAACTAATAGAAGAAAATCCTTGTCTAAAATCCTTGCGATTGAAGAAATACACGTCAGTCAAAAAAAGGAAAGATAAACGATAATGACAAGACAAGTATATTTTTCAAACATTGCAGATAAATAATGACACAAATTATTAGCAGAAATTGCCAATTAATATTGGTAGTTATTCACGATTTTCTTAGTAATAAACACAACTGGAAACATTAACAGTTCACAAACACACAATAATGAAATAATAAATAATAATAAAACAGAATAAAGATATTTAAATTACTCACTGTGATTTTGCATCTTTTACAGCTTTATCTTGCCTGAAAGTTGAAAGAAACATTTTAAAATTTTGACAGGAATTATTTTTTAAGAAATCATATTTGCAATCTGACATTTTTGTTACCATATTTAAACTCGGTACCTCCACTAATTCACGATACCTAAGATTTAAAATGAATTTCTGAAACTTAAAAGTTCTTCTTGAAGCTTTCATTTCACCTTTAATTGAAAGCTAATGGTTTATATTTTCTAACTCCGGAAATGTTATACTAGATCATACCTATTCTATTGTAAATAGACTCTCCCACAGATAATAAGTAGTAGTAGTAGTAGTAGTAGCAGTCGCCAGTGGGCTCAGTGAGTTGAGTGAGTCAGTCGATGTCTGACATTAAAGTATCAACTCCACAACTAGATTGCTGCGTCATTAACTATTATTTCCTAACGTTTTGTACGTCGAACCTAATTTAGGACCGACTTAGTGAAATACAAGCCTCCACTGTGAAAACCACTCTACAACAGGAAAGCAAAATGCTGTGGTGTATTTCTAATAGAAATTAGAATGATCTTTAGTCAAATCATTTTTTTCAGAAAAACCAATAGAAACAAAAAATATTGACATTTTTGTAAACAAAAGTTAATTCTCAGTTTTAAAAATCTTGCAAAGATAAAATATATATTTCTTAAATGTTATTTGTGGAAAATTAGCAAATTTAAAGTTAAATTAATCTGTTTTGAAACAAATACTAATTACTTATAGCATGAAATGTTGTATACAAGCATTTCTTAACCATGGGGCCTTGTTATTTTCACATCTCCATCGATATATTGATGGCCTAAGGTGTTGACAGGCTAAGTATAGTGAACCAGACATGACATAAATTTACGAATTTTAACTAAAAATGGTTTGTTTTGTTTTTTTTATTACCAGGTAATTTTTAAAAATTAACAAAATATCTTATGCAATTATCTAATATTTCATTGAATTTTTTTAGGTACTTAACCTTACGTTTGAAGATACTTTCTGAAAACATAATAAAATTTAAAATCCTATAAAGATTTCTTAAATTAACATTTCATAAATTAATGTGCTACATCTATAATGGTAATTTATAAATTATCTCAGTAAATTAAAAATTTAATAACAGATAATATAATAAATAAATTTATTAATTATTATATTAGGTCAATTATTAAATTTTTAATTCAATATCTGAGATAATTTTTAAAATATCATTATAGAAGTAACTCATTAATTTTATAGTTTTTATTATTTATTTATAGTTTTTGTTATGGTCCGGTTCCTTGAAAATAATATAACTACCAAATAAAGAATTCAAGAGATCCCACCAACAGTTTTGGATTCCTTAAGAAGCTAAATGATGTTTACTTTCTTGGTCCTGTGGCCTAATTGAACATAGTGCACTTCAGCTAAAAGTTTACCTGTGGCAAAAAATTGAACATGGCAAGTCACTTGGAGTTGATAATATTCCCTCTGAGCTGATAAAACATGGAAGTGAAGAAAACATCAAAGCTATGACATTATTATGCAATGAGGAGTGAAAAGATGGCCTAACAAGTGGATTCAGTCATTGGTAATACCTCTGCCGAAGAAAGGAAGCCCAAGGCAGTATTGAAATTATAGGATAATAAGCCTGATTAGTCATCCTAGTAAAGTCCTGCTCCATATTATTTTGAATTGTTTGAAATTCAAGGCTGAAGAACTGCTATCAGAGGAACAAACAGGTTTTAGAAGCAGACGAAGCACAATGGAACAAGACTTCAATTGTATAATCCTTGTAGAGAAACACCTGCTACATCAGAAGGACATGTTCCACAACTTTGTCAATTTCAAAAAGTGGGATCACGTAGGATAAGTTTTTGGCTAATCCTTATGGTAGATAACAAAATTATAAGGACCTTATAAAAAATGCTTCCAACAAATGGGACAACAACTGTTGGCATGAATCAAGGATGCATACTTTCACCGATATTGTTCAACTTATTTCTAGGGAGAATCATGCAAGAGACTATGAATCCTTCAATCTCTATAACCAACATTTACAGATGACATTGACTTCCGTTGTAAACATGGCGTTTCCAGAAACACAGAAGAATATCCACTTTATATGTATAAAAACTATTTTTGTTCTCCTTTCATTCTGCTTGACTGTGTCGATATATGATATATATTATTCTCTGTGTGGGACACATATAAATATGTGTTATAGCATACCTACAGATGATAATGGGTATGCCCCATTCACATAAACACAGTAGTAAATACTGTATGTTGGTCTGCAGTTGAAGATTCATTGTGGAATTCACTTGACTCACTTCCAGCAGTTGACTACTACTTCTACACACAGCTGGTGATTATTATACATGTTGTTTTAGTCCTAAGTATTATCGTTCATTACTAACCATTATTTGATTATTCTATTTCGTAACTTTCCCTAGGTTACAGCAATTTCATAGCAGGTAGTAACAGTACTTGACCAACAAACTTGTTGAAAGAGCAGGGGCATATGAATTGGATGTAAGCTCCAAGAAATCCAAAGTAATGGTTAGTAGCATAAACAGTAACTCCTATGTGAACATTACCATGAACAGGAATTCCCTGGAGGAAGTATCCGGTTTTAAATACTTGGGTGCAATCTTGTCTATAGATGATATCTGCAGCCCAGAAATTTGCACATGAATTGTCAAAGCTATGGCAGTGATAACCAAATTGGCAAGAATGTAGAGAAGCAAACTGTACAAATCACTGGGTGTCCCCATTCTCGTACATGGATGTGAAACATGGACACTACTGACAGAAAAAGAGAAAAGAATCCAAACATTTGAGAAAAATGCATCAGAAAACTCTTTGGCATCTTATATTGGGAATATAAAACCAATGAGTTTGGACGGAAAAGGGTCGAAAGTTTTGTGGGCTACCAAGAACCTCTTCTCACCATTGACAAACGGAGAAAAATGGCATGGATTGGACATGTTATAAGGCACAACAGCCTGTGCAAGACCATCATGCAAAGCACTGTTGAAGGTGGACGTAGAAGAAAATGCCAAAGCAAAAACTGTTTGGACAATGTCAAACAATGGACAAGTAAGACGAAAACAAAATTGCTGATATCTACCGTTGACAGACCATTGTGGAAGAGATTTAATATGGCTTCTGCATTAGAATTATAAAATTCAAGCAGATGATGATGATGGTGATGAATTGCACACTTATTTTATTTAAGTATAACCCAATACCTCAAACAATATTATATGAAAAAAATACTAACAATGCATAACAGTTATAAAACTTTTCGGAATATTTTGTGGCCCTGAAAGGGCCGTTTTATTCTTCAATTGCCTCTTCAACTGTGCTCGGATGTAAAATGAAACAACTGCCCACAGCCAAAAAGGTTTATATGACGAGAATTTTCTGTAAGGGGGACAAGCCTTGAAAACACGTAACTTTCTAATGGTAACATCGCGTATGAAACACCATACTGAAAAAGAAAGAACATTTACACAAAAAAATGATATTTTTAATGAAAATGATATTTTAAAATGAAGTACAGACTTGTATTTATTATTTGTATTAAGCTTTTCAATTTTCACTTAGTAAATATAATCTTCACTTATTAACTTAATAAGCTAACTTTGATGACATTTTTGAAACTTTATAAATTATTATAATTAAAAAAAGAAAAAAATGCAGTTCTTGTTTCATTATTCATCAAATTTTTTTTTCTTCAGATTATATTATCCTTAATGTCTATTATTTATAAAAGCAATTAAAAGCTTATCTCATTAAATAATTAGATAATTTTATTACAGTTTTTATTTTACGATTTGGAGCATATTTTAAGAAATTTGGTAAAAGTTTGAAAAGAATTCAAGATTTTCCAGTAACATATGTGCATTCCCTAAGGAGCTAATTAAGGTTTGCCTTATCATTCCTGCAGGCTAATTATTGATGGTACACTTCAGATAAAGGAGTGGTTTACCTGGTGGCAAAAAAAGGCATTATATCTTTAATTCAAATTATGTCAGTAATAACCTCTCGATTCTGAGATCGGTCGACACTCTCTGTTTCAATTACAGGGATGTAATTGAAGCAGAGATTATTAAGTACACATGTACCTAGTAAAAAATAATAACTATAAAAATAGGAGAAAATTCTTTTCTAAAATCCTTGTGATTTAAGAATTACATGTCAGTCAAAATGGAGTGATAGATAACAAGGATGAGATGAGGATGTTAGTCAAATATTGGAAATAAATGTTTAGCAAAACCGTACCAATTAACATTGGTAATTATTCATGATTTTATTAGTAATAAAAACAACTGGAAGTATTAACAACTCATGAATACATGTATGAAGATAGGATAATGAAAATAACATGATGAAACAGAATAAAGATATTTAAATTACTCACTTTAATTTCGCTTCTTTTACAGCATCCTCAAACCTAAAATTTGAAAGAAACATTTTAAAAATTTGACAAGAATTATTTTTTTAAAAAATCACGCTTGCAAACTGACATTTTTGTTACCAAATTTATTTTAAATATATTTCTCTTTATTTTATGAAAAAATTAAATCATTTGTAAGTTTTCCTGCGTTTATCACAATTAATTAACTTTTAATTATATGAAGTCTTTCTAAATGCCTCTCAGACTGACCAAGAAGGTACCTGAAATCAAGTTTTAATGTTTGATTATTGAATCAGTTTTGGTGGGAATACCTCATATGGAGAGCATTTGAATATGCATTTTCATATTATAACAGGGCTAGAAATACCTGTGAAAATGTCACTTTTCTTATTTGAATTTTCTGATGAATTTTAATCCTTAAGTTAATCATTGAGCACATGTCAGGTTCTATGACAATAAAATATCTTTAAAAATCACATCATTAAATATTTGAGCCTAACAACTTTAACAAAATATTGCAATAACAATCATAAATAAGAATGATTATTATTATTTAATGAACTAAGAGGATATAAATGAAAAGATTTCAAATTAGCAACTTTTTCCATTTCACTGGAACAGACATTAAAAACTTCTATCTTCTTTCTTTCTTTCTTTCTTTCTTTAATTTTCTCAATGAAAACTATTAGCATTACTCATATGTCTTTTGCATCTTTCCACACAATGAAAACAGAAGAGTCCATTATTTATGAGATAGCAGAATATAACAATCATGCTAACATCATTTTAATCAATTCCTCTTTGTCTTTATCATTATTATTATTATTATTGTTGTTGTTGTAACAGGCTTGGAGACTTTGCTACTAAGTAGTAGCATGGTAGTAGTAGTAGTAGTAGTAGCTTTAAAGTTAATCTCCAAAGATTACATCCATACATTCACTAAAAAAAATAAATCATGAATATATGCCCCAAACTTAATAAAAACAAAGTTTCAAAATTATTATGTTATTATTAAGATGGAAGATGAAAGGTTTTTTGTTTATCAAATTATATTTTTTAATCCTTTTCACAAGTTTCAATATTGGGTTTAATTCTCACCAAAAAGCCTTTGTTAACTTGAAGTTAGCCTTATCCAAGAAACCTGTCAGCAAGATTTTTGACCCTAAAAAAGAAGTCACCTTAACAACAGATGCGAGTGGACATTTTGTATTAATAATTTTGTCACAAGAAGGACGCCCAGTGATGTATCTTTTCAGTAAGTTAATGCCAGCCAAGAAGAACTATTCAAACATTGAAAAGGAAGCTTTGGCTATAGGATGGAGCATGACCAGAGCAAGAGAATTTTTGTTAGGAAAAAAAGTTTTTGCTCAGGTCGGATCATAAACCCCTAGAATTCATATTCCATCCCAGAAAAGAATTGCCGTAGGTCACATCATCAAGGATACTAAGATGGGCAATGAAGTTGATGGCCTTTGACTATGAAATAGAAGATGTGAAAGGAAACACGATCCCACACGTAGATGCACTATCACAACTACAGTATGAGGAGGGACAACACGAGAAAAATGAGGTGGAGACCGATGTATTGCACGTTAATAGACTTGTGATAAAGGCTCTACAAGATCCATTATTAAATAGGATCGTAGATAGAATAAGGAACGACAAATGGAGTAATTGTTCTAAAGTAGAAAGACTTTACAAAAAAATCAGACATAAATTGACAATAGAGAATGGCTTAGTCTTCAACGGAGATATGGTGGTACCACCAGAAAGTTGTAGAAGAGAGATAATTAAATACAAAAACGTCTAAAATTGGAAGCCTGGAAGCCGGGTCACATTCGAGACATGGAGACATATGTAAATAAATGCCCTAAATGTGCAGAGATAAAAACATTTTCGACAAAACAAGACACATTCGTGACCAAAGGAAACCGAACTGTGGTCCAGGGTTCACATGGATCATGCACATGTGAATGGTAAATGATTGTGTCTGATATTGGTGGATGCGTTTTCAGCATGGCCTGAAGTTTTTAGGGTTCAGGATAGAAAATCGAAAACTGTACAACAAATTTTGCGTATAGTCTTTGCCGGGAATGGCATATCAAGGACATTGGTAACAGATAACGCTCCAGAGTTTTGCAATGAAAACTTGTGTTCATGGTTAAGAAACATTGGATGCATACAATATAAAATCAAATGGAATAGTGGAGCGAATGATGCAAACAATAAAAATGGGTTTTAAAAGCCTTCTCCCCACAGCATTAAAGAATCGAAAATTTTCTACCAAGATTATTATTAAGTTGCCGGACAATACCTCATGCCGAAAGATTACAAAGTCCATCCGCGTTAATGGGAAAACAAATTAGAGCACTGTTGATACTCAACGAATGAGTAGATATGGTACAGGAGAAACGGGGTAGAGGGGCCAGAAAAAGTAAGGTTTGTTATGCAGAAGGAACAGAATACGGTGTTGGTTTCCAAGAATGGTAGAGGTCTTTTGGCGCATGCTGACCAACTAAGATATTGAGAAGTCTAATGAGTATAGAGAAGAACAAGATAATTGTTCAGAAGAAACAATGAGTTCTCAAGAGTTTTCTGAGGAATCAAAAAACGAAACTGCAAATATTGAAGAAGAAAGAAGTAAGTCGAGATCTCCTATAAGGAGAAACCCTCTTGAAAACAGTGAAAGAGGGGAGTGTATGTAGGAGAAGTAATAGGTCAATGAGTTGAACCTAAAAGCTTCCGGGAGGTATAGTAGAATTGGTTAGGCTTATACTAATTAGCATAACCATACCACTATATATAGGCAGAACGCTAGATAGACATTAACGGTCACTTGACGACGACGACGACTACTCCAACAATTGTGCGTGTACGAACTTCACGTCAGCCATATCAGTAAGGCAATTATTATTGTTATAAGAAGCTATGCACATTTTTCTATCATATAGTTTCATTGTTATTATTATGGTTGGCATCTCTTTATGATCAATCAAAATATATGGCAATATGATCATAGTCAACTAAATTTTGAAATTGTAGAGTATTTCAGAAATGACTTACATTGAGCTTATGTTGAGGACCACACGGTGTTGGTAAGCATGTGTGAAATTCCATCGTCTTAAATGATATATTTGTTGAATATGTTCTTTCAGCTGAAAATAAACATGATTGATAATTAAAAAATAATCCAATAATATTAATCATAATGATAATATAGTTGTTATAATGATGCATAACTGCATAAAATGTAGTGGACTCACCAGTCGATCTCCCTATAGTCGATGCCACTATCTGTCATCGGTGGAGTAATTACAAAATCAGAGAGCCATGTTCAAATTCTAATTGAGTTCATGTCATTCATTTACATGCTAATACCCTTGGGAAAGATGTGAACCTATCTCTTCTCCCCACACGCCTCGGGGTAAATAACAGGACAGACTTGGTCCTATAGCCTTGTGTGTCAACCAGTCTAGTTGTAGAATAACTCTGAATACAAATCCAGATTAAACTGACAAATAGAATGGAAGAGAAAAAAATTGAGAAGATATTTATGGAGGATTCAATTAAAACTTTTTCTAAAAGAATCCTTTTTCTCAATTGTACCTTTAAGAATCAATGGAGAAAGCGTATGTTAACTCTTTCTTACTTTAATCAAATTCGCTTTTCCCGGTTAGTTGGCTATTCAAATGAATATGATGTTAAAAATTGTCTACATCTATGCAGACAAAATTAAATTACTTAATTCGTAAATGATTTGGATGCTGTGATGAACCTACTGGAGAAGGAATTATTTTTAATTATTCATCTTATGAGTCTTCCAATTTGGAGACTCGCATCTTGGCTTATGGTTTGGATTTTTGTGTTCCGTTTTCAATGCCTGAACGTGAGAAAATCTTTTTGGAGTTTGAGGTTTTATATGCACAGCTTTGTAGACTTGCCCCTCGCTATGTCGAATCTCTTAGCGATCTTAAGGCTAAACTTAATAGTTATGCCCATTCTTATGCTGGCTCCTCTGTTTCTTCATCAGAGTCAAAATGGGGAGAATAACACCGCCGGGTAATTAAAAATTTAAAAAAAGAATTATAACCTGGTTATTACTAAACCTGATAAAGGTGTTGGTGTTGTTCTACTGGACTATTCGGATTATGTTTCTAAGATGGACAATATACTTGGTGATACATCAAAGTTCTTAAAATTAGGTCCAGTTGAGACCCATGATCGTACTGCCTCTATTGAAACTAAATTTCAAAGTCAACTATTAAAGTGGGTCAAGAGTGGTTTCCTCTCCTCTGAAATTTCAGAGTGAATAAGACCCACTGGGTCCATTCGGCTCCGTTCGTATGGGTTACCTAAAATCCATAAGGACGGTGTTCCTTTACGACCCATTCTGTCCATGATTGGGTCTTCGCAGCATAAAGTCGCTAGTTGTCTCTCGAAAGTGCTACAACCAGTTTTACCACACTTTAGTACATATTGCATTAAAGATTCCTTCCCTTTGTAAAAATTATACGTAGTTCTTCTACTTTTGGTGTGTTCATGTGTTCGTTTGATATCTGCTTCCGGTTTACATGTGTTCCCCTGTCTGAGACTATTGAGATGTGTTGTATCGTACCTCTTTTTCTCCTCCGGATTTTCCTAAGGGTGTATTTGTGAAGCTTATGTTGTTTGCCACTGCGTCTGTCGAATTTAGTTTTAATAATATTGTGTATCGGCAGATCGACGAGGTAGCTATGGGTTCGCCTTTGGGTCCAACGTTGGCGAATATTTTTGTCGGTTTTCATGAGGCTTCCTTATTTTCTTGTATTGGTCGTCCTCTTACGTATCATCGTTATGTGGATGATACCTTCTGCCTCTTTAATAATGAGGCTGAAGGTATCATGGATCGAGCTTAGTTCATTTGAACAGGGCTAACCTTGATTTTCTCTTTTAGGTCAGCCTACGTCACATCAAGGTGGTTTCCTGTGGAGCCCTCCCATTGGTTAGGTTAGACAAGCTTTGTATACCTAGTTAATGTGAGTAAATGTTGTTCCCGGCAGCATATTGGTTATGATCCAAGTCGAGATTCCCAACCTCCCCAGTTTGTTTTGGTCCGGCTTTTGATCTTGACTGGGCCAGCTTTTTATTTCCCATGTCCGTCTATATTTTAACTTTTCCCACTCCCTTAGCAAGAGAGCCTCTTGATTTTGTCCAAATGGGCAGAGTACAGCGGCCTCTCATTTTTGAGGGTTGGACGGGCCCTACTAACATCACTTATGTTTAGTTCACTTTTGTGTCTATGTTTAGTTTGTTTTGGGGTTCATTCCATCCACTCTCATATTTCATCATAGATTTTTAAGTATTTATTATCATTAAATTTTTATGGCATGGGGCGCGTTTTGTAGGTCCCCCTTGAGAGGATGCGGTATTATGGTGTATGAAGGATTGATTGGTGATGGACGAGTTTTTGTGGTGAATGGGCAAATTGTAATGAGTGAATGGGTCGTGAATCGGATTAGCTAGGTATAAGATAGTGAAGACCAGCCTCAGCCTCAACCCCTCCCCGTGTCAGACTTGTATTTTTTACAATAAATACCGCGGAGCGTTTTTTGATTTTATCTATGTCCCACTCCATATTTCACCTCAAGGTTCTAGGGTCCTTGCATATCAGATCCAGTGAGCTTTCCCTTTGTAAACATAGGGAATGCTTACTGGGTCTGAATGTTATTAGTTTCTTGAAATTCATTTTTTTTTCTCTTCCTTTCCATTCCATTCGTTAATTTAATTTTCACACTTTTATAAATTTTCTATTCGCAGAAAAAATAAACTTGATAAATCCTGGGACGAAACCGGTTATTCTTTTGGTTTTTTTAGTTTTTTTTTTATAAAAAATGCCTTATAAATTTTGCCTTTTCCTATATATATATATATATATATATATATATATATATATATATATATATATATATATATTGGATAATTATTTTTAATATATTATATAACAGTTTATTTTTTAATAGTTTGAAAATGAATTTTAAATTCATAAATGATTAACAAACCGGTTTTTGAATTATGTGAAAATAATCTTATATATAAATAGCCGATATATAATACCTAAATAGCTAATGCCATAATGTCAATATCATCTGCGAAATTTCAGAATTATCTAGAAAATCAGGTCTAAAAATTCTTGACAGAGATAGAAGTTATTGGTAATGGAATGAACAGTTGGAAATAGAACAGGAAAAAAAACTACACTTTTAGCTAACACCGATGTTTTTGTTGTCATCTCAGAAGAAAATGATATTAATATTTTTCAGTTTTTCTAGTTTGGTTTACTATAGAGGACTCAGGGTTCCATTTTCAGATCAGACATTCAAGTTTAATAAATTCTTGGACTTACGTAGTTGTCAATTGAACAAATTTTGTCTTTTTGAAACTTTCTGTCCAGCTTTCCAGTCAGTTTTTTTTTTTTTTTCTCAGCATCAAACTATTGGTTTTATGCTGTTCTGCTTGGAAGCCCATTTCAGTTATCTAGTGGGTAAATAATCCATGATAATGTACTGTGTGACCAGAGTCTGTGGTTTCATATTGCCAGTGGAAATTTCCTTATTGACTGAGAAACCTCTCCCCCACTGAGGTCTGTCTATGAGAGAGTAACAGCAATTGCAAAGAACTTTCCACAGTTTTTGATATTCTTTGTTGATAGACAAAGAAGAGTAGAACAAAGGGACCAGACGGTTTTCTTGCTTGCTGAAATTCTTGAAATCAATATTTCCATTAGCCTCCTCCTCCTCAAACTCTTTATAATGACTGATGATGTCATCACAATCAGACTTGCTGACTTATCTTCTATCCATAAGACATCTTTTTCGACTATCTTCTGTGGAAATTTTTTTTTCCAAAAATGAGTCCAGAGTTCAGCCATGCAAGTGACAAGAGGGAATCTAAGGTGAGGTATTTTGTCTTTGTCACAATTCTGTATACAAACAGATCTTTTGTTGACAAATTTACTTTTTTGGATAAATTTTGCATCGGCATATTTGCCAGAAATCCACACTTGATCTTTGCAGAATCTTTATGCATGTTTGGGTTTGACAAAATTCTTACAAATTTATTCAGTTTGGAAAATGTAATTATCTTTTTAGTGTGCTCTTCCTTTACAAATATTCATAAGTTTTATGCTCATGTTAAAAAGATTATCTACAAGGAAAGGAAGCAAGAGTTTATCATATGTATCTTAGTGGCTTTATTTCTATGATTGGGATGAAATGATTAAAATAAAATGTATGTGTGTATATGTATTTCAGAATGTTTGCATATGCGTGATAATCTGTCAGTGTGTATGTGTGTATGCTTATTCACATGCACTTGCATGTATATGTGTTTATAATTATGAATGCGATACAAAGTACAATATAGGGTAGCAAATATTCCATGATCCATTGACTTTGAGGGCCTTAGCATGTGCAATAAGTTGTCGATAATTGAAGGTTTTATTCTGACCAAGATAAAAGGCGTCTCTGGCGAGATAATCCCATTTATCAACATCGATTCCGTTCACATCGTTGGAAACAATCTAAAAAGAAACAATTCAAACAATTAGCCCCTTGCATATAGAAAATGATCTTTTAAATAAATTGAAAAATATAAAAATGATCTTTTAAATAATAAAAAAAAACAATATATAACAAGTTCAGACATAAAATATACTTTAGTATATTAAATGTTTCAAAGGCAAAGAAATTAAGCCCCAAGTCCTTTTAAATTTACTATGTTATGGTCCAGGTCCTTGTACCACGGTGATGGTCCAAGATAGAACCAATAAAGAAGAACTCCAACACGGATATGGAATAACACAGATATATTACAAACAGGAATATATAAAGAGAAGTAAAAAGTGTTAGTTAACGATCAATCAGTAAAATAGAAACAATGTAGTCTCGACCAGTATCACTTTTGTTTCAAAAATGTATTTTAGAAAACAAAATTAGAGTTCAATTGTCTGAACGCGAATATTAGTTTCATCGCCATCACACACACATACATATAGTCAGCCATTGGCTCATGATTCGACTGACCAAATGAAATCGCTCGCTCTGACTTTTCCCGCGACTGACAGACTCCTGACGGACTTCTGA